GCGCTGCGCGGCCGCGGCTGTACTACGTTCCGCTCCTTCAGCAGGTTCTTGGCTCCCCGCCTTCTCCTGGTCCTCCTCCTCCTTTCCTGAGTCCACCGCCTGTCCAGTCCCAGTCGCAGTTGCAGCCGGCCTCTCCGCTGCTTGGTTCTTCTCCTTACTCTGGTCCGACTAGAGGTCTTACGGAGCGTCGTGAGCCTGAGTCTCGTCCTGTGTCGCCTGAGTCTCGTTCTGCGTCGCCTGTCCGTCCTGTTCGTGCTGGTCGTGTTTCGCGTCCGCGTCTTCCTCCTGTCCCAGGCACTCACTCTATGACACTGCGTCCTTCTACTGCTCCACAGCGTGTCCCTCTGCCCTCTCCTCATGCGTCCTCTCTTCCTGACGGTCCGGACCCGGCGTCTGACTCCCTTCGTGCTGCTAGTCCTACTGTCACGCGCTTTCTGGCCACTGCTGCCACTGACCCTCTGTTTGAGTCCTCTGCTGCGTCTGCTCTTGTTGCTGAGCTTGTGGACTTTGCTGCAGCCTGTCGCCTAGACTACGCCGCTAGTCTTGTTGCTGAGTCTGCGTCTGCGTCTGTCTGTCCTCCGTCCGTCGGGGGTGAGTGTGCTCTTGGCACGGACGTCCTTGAGGACAGACAGGAGGACCTTGAGTGTTTTGCTGCTGCTTCACCTCATCTCGTGTCCATGCTGCTTGCCCCTGAGGGAGACCCGGATGCACCAGACATCCCGACCCCGCGCTCTTACGCAGAGGCGATAGAGGGTCCCTACTCCTCTCAGTGGCAGGCAGCCATGGACGCCGAGATGGCTTCCTGGAAGTCCACAGGCACCTACGTAGACGAGGTTCCCCCACCTGGGGCGAACATCGTCAGTGGCATGTGGATCTTCAGGGTGAAGCGGCCGCCGGGTTCTCCGCCTGCCTTCAAGGCGCGTTACGTTGCACGTGGCTTCAGTCAGCGACAGGGAGTTGACTTCTTTCAGACCTTCTCCCCTACCCCGAAGATGACCACTCTTCGGGTACTGCTGCACGTTGCTGCTCAGCGTGACTACGAGCCACTCGCTTGACTTCAGCACAGCCTTCCTACAGGGCAGCCTGCACGAGGAGATCTGGCTGCGCCACCCACCTGGCTTCACTGGGTCGTTTCCTGCTGGTACCCAGTGGAGCCTCCGGCGGCCAGTCTACGGTCTCCGCCAGGCGCCCCGTGAGTGGCACGACACGCTCAGGACGACTCTTGCTGCTCTTGGTTTTGCTCCTTCCACTGCTGACCCTTCTCTATTTCTACGCACTGACGCTACTCTGCCGCCACTCTACGTTCTTGTGTACGTAGACGACCTTGTCTTTGCTACTGCTGACACGGAGGCACTCGCCCACGTGAAGTCCGAGCTGCAGAAGAGAGACTCGTTCACAGACCTGGGTGAGCTGACAAGCTATCTTGGCTTGCGGATCACCCGGGACAGAGCACAGCGCACCATTACCTTGACTCAGTCACACATGGTGCAGCAGGTCCTTCAGCGCTTCGGCTTCACGTACTCCTCGCCACAGTCCACTCCTCTGCCTACCGGTCACTCGCTCTCAGCTCCACCTTCGGACGAGTCCGTAGAGCCGAGTGGCCCGTATCCAGAGCTTGTGGGCTGCCTCGTGTACCTGATGACTTGCACACGACCTGACCTCGCATACCCTCTCAGCCTTCTGGCTCGCTACGTGGCTCCCGGTAGGCACCGAAAGGTGCACTAGGATGCTGCGAAGAGGGTGTTGCGATACTTGTGCAGTACATCGGGCATGGGGCTCGTGCTTGGAGGACGGGCTCGAGTTGTCCTCACTGGTCACGCTGACGCCTCCTGGGTTGACGACTTGGCTACGCAGCGGTCGTCACAGGGTTACACCTTCAGTCTTGGCTCCGGCTCTGTTTCTTGGCGGTCTACCCGCTCTTCTTCTGTTCTCAGCTCCAGTTGTGAGGCTGAGATCTACGCTGGAGCCATGGCTGCACAGGAGCTTCGCTGGCTCACCTACCTGCTGACTGACTTGGGAGAGGCACCTCGGTCTCCTCCAGTTCTGTACGTCGACAACAAGGCCATGCTGGCCTTGTGTCAGGAGCACAGACTGGAGCACAGAATGAAGCACATTGCTCTGCGCTACTTCCTTGCTCGAGAGTTGCAGCAGCGTGGCCAGCTTCGTCTTGCTTACGTGGCCTCTCAGGCCAACGCTGCTGATGTTTTCCACCAAGGCACTTCAGCCTTGTGATCATCAGCGTTTCTGTACTGTGTTAGGCCTTGTACCTACTGTGCCTCACTTGTTGACTTCTTGACTCTGCTTGTACTGTACTCTATATACTTATACCTGCATGCTTACACTTGCTAGGTTGTGTTCACTGTATTGTTTGCTTTCCTTTATATAACTCTGCATGTAAACTGGCCTTATGGCCCTTTGCTTGTGCTCAGACTGTGTGGTGACTTTGTGATCCACCCTGAGCTTGCTTTGCCTTTCTTGACTGGCCTTGTGACCTCTTGTTCTCCCCCACTTTGCCTATGGGGGTGTGTCAAACTTATATCTGCTATAGTCTATTTAGGCTATAGTGGGGTAGCTCTTAGAGGGTACAACACTTATGTTTTCTATTTGTACCCATCTCAGTTTCTAGTTCATTCATTCTTTTCGTCAATTATCTCACAGCACGCAATACCGAGGCTGAAGGCGAAGAGGCAGGATAACGCGAAGAGTTGCGCACGGTTACGAAGCATCTAGACCGTCAGGGCAGACAACATCAGGCAACAGCAGTGGCGAGGATTCTGTCCGAGCAGTTTGTAACCGTCTGGAGCCGCACGGTTTGGTTTCGCTGCAATAAGGGAATGTACCCCTTAGAGTACATGGCTAGTCTATATGGTTTCGTATTCCCCTGTACATTTATTTATACAGTTGTATTTGCATGTTTTTAATAATCTCAATCATTTTACATTCAGTCTGATTTGAGGTGAAGGGCCCACCACTACCTCACACTGTATGCGAACCTTCCCGAGGTGATCCTAGGTTCGATCAACTTTTGATCGCAGCAAGTTTAAGGGGTAAAAGAAAGCGATCGCAATGCTTGCTATACATGTATTATAAAGGCTTATTCTACAATCGTTTTTAACAAGTATCTCGATACTGCATGTTGATATATCGCTCCTGTGGAGGTTACTAGGTGATTCCTGCAACCTCTTAGTCAGCTGCTAGGGCGGTTTCAATTTTTTTACATATCATTTCCTATATGAAGCTGCTGGAATGTACTCTATTTTTACATTATTATCCGTGTCCTCTAACACGTTGGTCGTGCGGCTTATACCACATGTCTACCTCCCTCGGTCCTCGCAATAGCTCCGTGTTGCGGGTGTGGAGGAAACAAGGCAGGAACTGGATAAGCTGGACTCTGCTCGATAGTGGCGTCGAGCGAGCAGGCGCATGGATTTAGAACCCACTAAATTTAGGGCATCTGTGGGGCACGCGGCGTTACTGCAGGCAGACAGGTAGGCAGGCACACAGGCGTTACTGCTAGCAGCTCAGAGACATCCCCCGTCATGTCGCATTGCGTGGCAACAAAGGGCGACATGCATGGCGCAACGAGCCGCAGCATCACGCCTCGGGATCTGCCGCGGCCAGTGTCGAACCGCCGTGGCAGAGTCCGGTCGAACAGTCTACAGCAACTGATGTACCGCCGAGTTCAATCTGACGAACCTCTGAGTCTGACTTGATCCGTCTGTCCCTCTCGGATCTGAACCACGTGGAGGGTGTTACAGAGACGGTTCTCGGATCTGAACCAGTACCCCTGTTGGACTGCCTGCAACAATCTCATGTCCCGCCAACTTTTACGCGGTGAGCCTCTCTGATCCGTCGTGGGGCCTCTGATAGCTAGCCTCTGGTAACCTCTCATCTGATCCAATCTTATCACATTGGGAGCCGCGATGATCAATAACTGACTTGTCACCAATTCCGAGTTGCCAACGGTTTCGATAAGAGCCCACGTGGCTCTGGGTATGCTGCCACGGCTGTCGCCGCCGCCGCAATCCCGGACGTCTCGTAGTAAGATTTTTGCCCAAGCCATGCGGTTACCACGTGAAAAGCGAGAGGAAAGAGCGAGCGAGACACCCAGTCCAGGTTAAGACGAGTTTTTTTCGCGAGGAGCAAACACAACACCAATGCGGCCACCCCACGCATCCCCGCTGCTTCCAATCCGCATGCTCCGCGTGTCCCGTTGTTCTGCCAGAGTCCGCCGTCCCCCCTGTCTCTTAATGAAAGCCATGCTGATTCCACGCCTCTTTTCCTGAAACGAACCCGTTTCAGTGAAAGCCAGAGGTTTCCCCATAACTTTACCCTGAACGAGGGAAACCGCGGGTTTTTTTTCCCCTCTTTTTATCCTTTGAACGACGCAAATCCATGCGTTGCCGGCTCGGCGCGCACAGGGCCGGCAGCAGGCGGAACACCGGATTTTCGCGAGCCAATCAGCGACCGGCATGTGGCCGCCGTTCAGAGGAGCGCTCGAGCGAACCTTGCTGCCGCCACGTGGCTTACGCGCCGCATGCAACGGCTGCTGCCTCAGAAGAAGCTGCTTCGGCGCACACATTGTGCTGCGCGCTGCGCCAGGGCTGCTGTTGCACCAGCAGGGCTCATGCTGCGGCTGATGCTGCGGCTGATGCTGCGGCTGATGCTGCGGCTGATGCTGCGGCTGATGCTGCGGCTGATGCTGCGGCTGATGCTGCGGCTGATGCTGCTCTTGCCTCGGCTGTCTCTTTCGCACACCCTCTAAGCCTATCTGTTGCTCATCACCCGCCTCTCACCCGCCGCTCTCCGTCTGCTGCTCATCACCCGCCTCTGTCCGTCTGCTGCTTATCACCCGCCTCTCTCCGTCTGCTTCTCATCACCCGCCTCTCTCCGTCTGCTGCTCATCACCCGCCTCTCTCCGTCTGCTGCTGGTCGCTGCTGCGTCTCTCCCTCCGCTCCTACCTGCCATGTGTCTCTTCTCAGTTTGAGGAAGCATCACCATGGCAGCCCGCCGCAGCTCTGCCACGTCAGCATCCCACGCCCGGATCGTCGCAGGGACGTTCCTCCTGCTGGCCGCCGCCGCGGCGTCCAATGGCGTGCTGGCACGTCACCACATCCCAGTTACAAGCATACTGCCGTTGCAGGAAGAGGGCACGTCGCCTCCTTCCGCTCCTCCCCCTCCGCCTCCCCCTCCCCCTCCCCCTCTGCCTGTGCCTGCCACGTGCATGAAGCCTAAGCTGCAGGGCTACTCGCGAACCGTTGCTCTTTCCAGTGATGGGTGAGGCTCGTTGTTCCCTTCTCCCTCCCTCCTCCCTTCCTCCCCCCGCCCCCCCCTCCACCTCCCCCTCCCTCTCTCCCTCCCCCTGCGCCTCCCCCTCCCCCTCCTCCGCCTGTGCCTGCCATGTGCATGCGCTTTAAGCTGCAGGGCTACTCGCGAACCGTTGCTATTTCCAGTGATGGGTGAGGCTCGTTGTTCCCTTCCCCCTCCCTCCTCCCTTCCTCCCCCCGCCCCCCCCTCCACCTCCCCCTCCCTCCCCCCCTCCCCCTGCGCCTCCCCCTCCCCCTCCTCCGCCTGTGCCTGCCATGTGCATGCGCTTTAAGCTGCAGGGCTACTCGCGAACCGTTGCTCTTTCCAGTGACGGGTGAGCCTTGTTGATCCCCCCCTCCTCCCTCTTCCCTCTCACTTTTCCCCTCCTCCCTCTTCCCTCTCCCTTTTCCCCTCCTCCCTCTTCCCTCTCCCTTTTCCCCTCCTCCCTCTTCCCTCTCCCTTTTCCCCTCCTCCCTCTTCCCTCTCCCTTTTCCCCTCATCCCTCTTCCCTCTCCCTTTTCCCCTCCTCCCTCTTCCCTCTCCCTTTTCCCCTCCTCCCTCTTCCCTCTCCCTTTTCCCCTCCTCCCTCTTCCCTCTCCCTTTTCCCCTCCTCCCTCTTCCCTCTCCCTTTCCCCCCCTCCCTCTTCCCTCTCCTTTTCCTCTCCTCCCTCTTCCCTCTCCCTTTTCCCCCCCTCCCTCTTCCCTCTCCCTTTTCCTCTCCTCCCTCTTCCCTCTCCCTTTTCCCCCCCTCCCTCTTCCCTCTCCCTTTTCCCCTCCTCCCTCTTCCCTCTCCTTCTCCCTCCTCTCTCCTCCCTCCTCCCTCTTCCCTCCCACCTAGCTCTCGCTCCCTCCCATATGCCCTCCCCACACACCCCCACCCCCTCTCTTCCCACCACTCCCTTGCTCCGCCTGTTCCTCTTGCATTAAGCATCATGCCAACGGGGGTGACGGGGCACTAGGGTTTAAACCAGGCCAGTGCTGCTGTTGTCCCGCCCAACGAGGTTTCCCTTTTTTCTTCCAACCACAGAATCTCTTCCTTTTATTTTCTCCTCCCTTTGTTTATCCTCCCTTCATCCTCCCCCCCCTTCAACTCCTCCCTTAATTCATCCTCCTGACACTTCTCCTTGTTTGTTTTTTTTCCCTGTGTTTCTCCTTCTTTCTTTGCTCCTCCCTTTGTTTCAATCTTCATTTTTCCACTAACAGTCTCCTCTTCCCCTGAACTGTCACAAAGGGGATGAACAGAGCACTGGAGGCCAAGCAGGGAGGAGGAAAGGAAATATATCCATTCCTTTCCCTTGCCCCATGCACTTCTCTTGCCCCATCCCCTTCTCTTGTTCCATGCCCATCCCTTGTGCGCTTTTCCGACACCAGTCTCTTTCTCTTCCACTGGACCATCACTAAAACGGGGATGAACAGAGCACTGGAAGCCAAGAAAGGGAGTGGCGGAGAGAAGGGGTGGCTCTCCATTGGCTGGGCGCAGCGGGCCAATCGGATGCAGCCAGGCGATGCGATCGTGGGCAATGTGCTGCTGCCACGTGGCAGGAGGGTGGCTGCGCATGCAATGACGGGCAAGTCAATGAGCAAGATCAACGAGACAAAGAGTGTGCAGCTGAAGGGTGCTAGCATTCTCAAGACCTCTGGCCGCACCATTTTCAAGTGAGGGACAGGTGGAAGGAAGAGGAGGGGAAAGGGAGGGGGAATAGGGAGGTTCTCTAACGGGTGCAAGCATTCTCAGTACCTCGGGTCGTTGCACCATTTTCCTTTCTCTCGTGCTTCTCTCGCGCTTCTCGCGTGCTTCTCTCGTGCTTCTCTCGTGCTTCTCTCGCGCTTCTATCACGCTTCTCTTGACTGTTCCAGCTTCACACGCTTTGGCAAGGCGGTCTGTGTGTCCTCTTGTCTCCCTACCTCCTCTCATGCGTCTCCCTGCCCGTGCCTTCGTGCCTGGCTATTTCAGGTTCACACGTGTTGGCAGTGGCGGCCTTGCTCCTCCCAACTACACAGGCAACAACAACATGACCTGGGGGTTTTCCAACACACAGACCTACGCCATTCACACTCAGCGGTGAGCCATTACTATCCCTTTACTCTCTTTCTGGTAACCAGGTAACCAGGTCTGGCTCCTCCCAACTACACAGGCAACAACAACATGACCTGGGGTTTTTCCAACACACAGACCTACGCCATTCACACTCAGCGGTGAGCCATTACTATCCCTTCACTCTCTTTCTGGTAACCGAGTAACAAGGTATGGCTTCTCTCAACAGGACAACATGACCTGGGGGCTTGCCGAAACACAGGCCTTCAACATTCACACTAAGCGGCGAGCCACGATAATCCCTTAACCTACTTCAGAGGCAACCAACTCTGGAGGCTCTTTGACATCTACCGACCTACACCGAGCTGTTCTGTTCTGTTGACTTGTTTTCTTCATACTCTGCTCTGCACTCTCTCTTCCCTTTTGCAACAGAGGCCTTCGACTGAACATGGCATGCAAGGAGTAGAGAGTGTTCTTAGTATATCGAGCTGTTGTTATGTTCTCACCTTGTGTCCTTGTCACCCTGCTCTCTGCTCTTTTTTCTCACTTGTGCATCTGAGCCCTTCTGCTGAACCTGGCATGCAAGGTTTAGGGTTTGCACTTGGTAACGAGTTCCTCAAAAAGGCATTGCAGTTTGTTTTACAGTATCTCAGGTGGCAGCATGGCATATAGATGGGTCTATTTATAAATCAGGTCTATGTGATGGGGTGGAAGGCATTTCAGTGTAGGGGCTGATACCTTAAGGCGTGTTCCTATGCCTCGTACAGTATCAAGCGAACCTCATATCAGGCTCACTGAAAATTCCCATAAACCCAACATCCTTCGCTAGTTTTACCAGGCAAGTCTGATATGAGGTTGCCTGATATGAGGCGTAGGAACACGCCCTTAGTACGTTAGAACTAAACCTGAAATGAGCGTAGTAATTTAAATCTGTGATATTTTTTTCCTTAGCGCATCTCCATAACACAACAATACACTGGTCTTGTTACCCAACCCCGCAGACCTCTGTAACGAACAATCTGGTGCTATTTCATGCTTGCTCCACTCTTGTACGGTATATATTTCATCCCTTCCCTTCCGCTAAGTTTTGTAAGTTTTCACCACACTTCCCCAAACTTCCCGCCCCTTAAACCCTGCCTTTCCCATTCACCCCCCTCTTTCCCCAACCCTGTTCCCTCATCCAAGCCCCACCTCCTCCAAACCCTCTTCCAAAACCACCTCCTTCCTTTCGTCCTCCCACCCCCACACCCCCAACTCCCCCCTCCGCCCCGAGTCACAACGCATCCATTGTGCCTTCTCTCGAGCCCTGAGTGGGGCCTTGTGCTGTGAACGACGCACGGATGAGGCAAACGAACAGCCAGGATTTAGGTTCTCGAGTCACGAAAATCGATGGCGCAACTGCGTCATCCCGCTCTATTGATACGCTATTATGCGCTGGTGTGCACCAGTGCACGCACGACTTACGTAGTTGTACATATGTAGTTCACGCTGCGCGGTTCGTGCGCGCAGATTCCATCCGTGATTTTACTACGTTCGCTTCTTCCTTACTGAACGTCCAATCAACGATGAGAAACGACCGCTTAAGTTAAGCCCTAAGCGATTCTCATTTTTTTGTAATTACTATATCATAACGCATTCTCACGTGCGCGCAATGGGCGTGTTTTTCGATGGGGGTTGTTCGCAATAGGTCGTGTTTACAAATGTCAAAATGTACTGCTCAATACACTTGCATCAACAATCAGCAGCAAGGGCCACAACCTTGCTAAGCCTATAATGGCGTCAACGACTGCTGTGTCACGCCCTTGGTGCTGATTCTCGATGCGACTTTCGTCGACTCTCTGCTACTTGTACTACCCTCCTCCGAAGATGAGGTCTGGCACGCCATTACACCTTGTATGCGAGGTTGATGACGATGCTACCCCTGGAGAACAAAAAAAATAACAGAAAGTCAAGCAAACGTCAATAAGAAGTAACAAATGTGTGAAGAAACCATGTATTGTAAGAACAGAAGACGCAGATTTTCTGGCAGGGGAGGTTTGAGATGTTACCGATTGGAGTGGGAGGTGAAAGCCTGGGTGCTGGAGTAGGCCCAGATCATGTTGTTGTTACCCAGGTAACTGACAGGACCCTGACCGCCCTTGCCCATACGAGTGAACCTGAAACGAAATGAAACGCATGTGTTAAGTACTCCTCAAAACGCCAAACTAACACAACCTAGGAGGTGCAAGAACGGGCATGATGGCGTACGATTCGAGGCGTACGGCTTTGCACAGCGGGAACAGGCAAAACTCACTTCACGATCTTGCCAACACCGTCAGCAGCGGTAACCACGGATTTCGCCGAAAGCTTCACTGCGGTTGTCTTCTTGACCTTGCTCAAAGTCTTGGCCGTCATCGCGTAAGCCAGAACGTTGTTCGGCGCAGCTCCCGCCAGATTCCCCACCACGGCGTCTGCGAGAGACATGAGGCCGACTTTCTTCGTCCAGCCAATAGACATCCAGCCCGTCTCGGCGCCGCTGCCTTGCTTCGCCTCGAGCGCATCGATGATTCCGTCGTTCTTCTTGGTGATGTTCCAGTGCAAGACAAACAGGCTGAGGAGAGTGGTAGAAGGGTGAAGAGGATGGAAATCCGTGAGGGAAGCAGGAAAGAAGCTGCAAGCATGCTAAAAGGCGACTCGAACAGAGTGAAGCTGGCGTAAATCCGTCGCTACCACGTACTAGCCCGAGTGAACGCATCGTTTAGGACGGAAACCATACTTTATGGAAACAGTCACGTACCCGTCAGCTGTGAGCTGGACAGATTTGGTGTATGATTCGACTTGGTGCAGGTGGCTACAGCCGCGGGCTTAGTAACGGCCGCGGTGCCAGCGTGGTGTCGCGCGAATGCGCTGCCAGCCATTGCCATGATCAGAACCGCGAGCGACATAGCGAAGAAGGAAAGTCGGGCCATGGTGATGGAAGCGAGGCTAGGTGGATGCGAGAGGCGACGATGGTGGTGGTGGTGGTGTGTGTGAGCTGGTGAGAGCATTTGGTAAGTTGGATGAAATTTAGAAAACTGAGGCGTAAATACTAATTGTTTGCTGGTGTTGCAAGGGATGTGAGTGCGGTCGAAGCTGGGGGGAGGGAGAGAGATGACTGGGTGACCACCGAATCGAGACGCGATTTCACCAAATTCACATTTCGTCACCAGAGATTTCACCGAACCACTACTACCACCGTTCCCCGCACCTTCAAACCGATCAATTCTAATCGAAGGTGTTTCCCAAAACCAACCAGCACAGATCCCAAACCATGTCTCCTTTGGGGCGTAGAGCCGAGCCTATCCGCGTCCAGCTTCCGCTAAAAGCTTGTGGAGTGCACTGCACAGTGACCAGAGAGCCGAGCGGATGGCTTCGAAGAAAAACACGAGGACCTGGCACCTGTCATCTCCACGTTGTGCAGTACAATTGATGCCTGTTTGAGCCCCTCCCGGTTGCCTTGTGAAGGGGGCGTATAACCTGTATCGTGCATTTCGCTTAATTTTCGTCAATTCGCAGCTAGCTAAAAAGGATTCGCAGGTGCTTATATTAAGTATCTGTAACCTTATCCGTTGACATTTTGACTTCAGTCTCTTCATTTTGACTTCGGTCTGTTCGCTACTATTGGTCCATAACCACGCGACGCGCTTGTATCGTGGGTGCAACAGGCTGGGGAAAAGACCTCGGGTGCAGCGTTTCCATCCGGTGCGGGGCAAATTCGCGTGCACTGGTTGGGCATCATGTGACTTCCATTCGAGGTCACCACCACCAGCGACTTGCTGCCTTCGTGTACACGACGTCGCGTCGCGTTCCACAAGTTTCAACGTGCGATTTGAACCAGTTTATGGCTGTTAGCGTCCACGTGGCCACATCCATTTTTGGGCGCACGAAATACACACGCCACATTTCAGCAGATTCATGGTCGGTCGGTGGACAATGATAGACAGCACATGCTACCGTCACAAGCAACTACCACCACCGACGGGCCGCCTGAAAATATTTTCTCGTCATTATCTCTACTCCAAGTGCACACTTAGAATCTTAGGTTCTAAACAACAATTGTAAATCCATCCGCGAAAATCCACCACTTAGCTAACTATATCTTACCCCATAAGCCATACTTCCCAGAGTAAGGATTTAATTCGTTCAGTGCTAATTATCCCCTATTAGGATTACTCCCACATCGTGTATAGGCCCATAGCCCAAAGACCTCAAGCTCCTAGGCGTCGTATCGTTCCTGACATTCTTGTTTTTTCAGAGTTCGCAGGTTTCGAAAGATGAGTGCTTCAGACTAATGTTTTTTTCAATACTGAAAAAATAGAGTATTCATTTTTTAGAAAATGGGCCTCATACTAAAAACAATTGGGGGTCAAAAAAATCAGAGTGGTTTTATTTGCTGCCCCACCGAGCCACCTTGCTACCACTACTGCTGCTGCTGCTGCTCGTGCTACTGCTGCTGCTGGTGAGGTGCTGCTAGGAGTGCTGGGAGTGCTGCTGGTGCTGGGGGTGCTGAAGGTGCGACTGGGAGTGCTGGAGGTGCTGCTGGTGCCGGACGTGCATATGGGAGTGCTGGAGATGCTGCTGGTGCCGGAGGTGCTGGACCTATCACT